TGTTCTGGAACTCTTCTCTATCTCTCAGCTTATCCTCCTCAACATGTTGCACATGGATCATAAGCCTTGCTATGTTTGTCTCTACTATCAGTATAGTTGTCTTACCCTCGTTACCTGACAAGCGACAACCCAGATATAAATAAACTGATCCTGCTCGTCCTGTCAGCAACCATCTGCGGAGCATAGCGGGACAATTGAGTGAACTTGAGGCTATACTCATGGAATCCTACTTCAAGTTAAGGAATTATCTTACTTTTGCTTCCCTTAGCTCATGGCGAAATAAATACCCCAAGAAGGCCTCATCGAACACAGCCCATCTCACAATTGGTGCACCCTCAGCTCTACTCTTCTTCCATTGGTCGTACCAGATTCTAGTTAACACCCTTCAGTTGGTATGCAGCTAGTTCCACAAGCTCAGCATCTGCAACATGCATCACCTCAAATACTTTCTGCAACTTTTCCACAGAGTTTTTCTAGATCGCTATGAAACTTGAACCGGTAAAGTTTGGAAGATTCATCCTTAAGAACTAACAGATTCTAGATGTATCAGCCACATCCGATCGAACCCCTCTCTGTTGCCAAGCTTGGTTGGTCACAACTTTACTAAGCATCTAAATATCATCCCAGAACTCAGCATTAGTGATCTCTCCTTGGGGTTGCACTTCTGGTGCATTGGGGACCCCTTGATCATAGGGATCAACATTCCTCCTAGCTCGACGACCTCGAACAACTTTTCGTGGAGGCATGATCTAAAATATATGCGCAAGCACGAATTAGAAGGAAAATTTTATAGAAGTGAACTCTATCACATGAAAAGAATATGAAAGAAGTGAGATATTTCCTAAATGTCGTAATCTCTTAATTATAGAAGTGGCGCACTTCAAACTGATAAATAAGACTCTATAGAAATAGCTTCATAAAAACCGTAGGACTCTTGAAATCTGTGCTCTGATACCAAGTTTTACACACCCCGAGACTACACCCTGAACGTAACTGGCACTCGAGAAATATTGTTGGCCCCAACTGAACCATAGGTCTGGCTTAATACATCACGGAAAACTTTATCAACAATATATGAACTCAATTGCAAAGATTTAACTCAACTGTCTAAAATAAATAACTCAGAATATATAAGAATATTCAGCTAGCAAGAAATAGGCAACTCAAGTCTTTGAAACATTTAACAAAAGAAATGGAAAAGACTCATCAAAACACTACTATCTATGAAGCCTCTAATGATAACGATGGAATTTGAGACAAGATCCACGACATCATAACAAAACTGAAGAGTAAATGGGAATCCTCCCGAAGAAAGGATGCTCACCAAACCAACTCTGGAACTGCACGTGGTATCAACAGTACGCCTGTTGATGACCCTGAACTCCTATGTCTGCATCATAAAAGATGCAGGCCAAATGGCGTCAGTACATGGAATTTACGAGCATGCAAGGGGAACTCTAAAACATAAACATAAGCTTGAATTTGATAAAAAGGAAGAACATACTCACCTTATCTCAACTCAAAGATACTCAAGGATGCTCAAAGGTACTCAAAGATACATTATAAAGAAAGCTTTTAAAACGGTACATAACAACTCAGATGTATTTAAAAATACAATAATAAACTTTTTTACCCATATTTGGGAGATTCTCTAATCGACAACCAATACTATAAGCTATGTGATGATACAACGTGTCGCCCACGCTGCCAGAAGTGTCCTATACCCTGCCAGAGCATAGTACATCTTCAACTAAGTGGATCCACTAAGCTATGCTAATAAGAAATAAGGAATCATCTAAAAAGTAATGCCATTTACCCATGTTGTCATACAGCGTTTTAGAGGACTTTGAGTTGTCTCAACTCGTCTCAATATCGGTGCTCAATACTAGTCCCAATAATATAAATAATGCTCATATCTTTTAAAACATTTCCTCAGCCTCAAACTTTGACATTATTACTCAAAAGGTTCAGCTAAAATAGATAGTGCTCAAAACCTCGTAATGAACTAACTTGGATATCGAAGTTTCCTCCCATTTTAAATGTAAAGACATTTACTATTGGGATTACTTAGTTCCCATATATTCATTTTGAAAAATGAAATTCAACTTTCGTCATCCTCGTACTCAAGTCTTAAAACAAGTTTTAAAAGTAGGTAAAGGACTCTTAGAAAGACTCAAAAGGCACTATCAAACTTGACTCTTAATCTTTTCTTGAATTGCAATTATAAATTCAAGAGTTATGATTCATTATATGAAGGATCTCGTAATGATTAAACGTAGTTTATATCGCTAGGATTAAGAAAGGAATGAAAGCTCGACTCAAAGGAACAAGTACGGATGGAAAATGATGAAGAAAGTGGTCTGACACATTGTGGCGTAGGGGTGGTGCGCTGCGCTAGGCCTCCCCTTACTGGGGCTGGTTTTTAGCGCACAGCTGGCAGCCCACGCCAGCCCTGCTGGAGCATCGGGTGTGCAGCGCCCCAACCTGTTTCCAGAACATCCCGATGATCTTTTCTTCTCAATTTTTGGCCTTAATTTACCTAGAATCGGATGGTTTCTTCCAAACTCTATTAGATTTGAATATTCAACATAAGTACACGAAATTCTACTCAAAATAACCCTCAAACTCATAACATTCATCTCAAGAACTCATCAAAAACCCAACATTGGCAATTTAAGAACGAAACTTCAAGAAACTCATCAAGAACTTTAATACATGGATTGTCATGGATGAAATGAACTCAAGAAACTTATGATTAGCGTGAGGGTGAATGGATCCATCACTCTGAAAGCTTACATACCTCGTAAGGATCAAATTAACATTTAAACTAGCAATTATGGAGGTGAACGTTATTAAAGCACATGTTAATTATTATATTTAGTTGATTATTGTTTGACATATTCTTTAGCTAGTAGTCTACCACTACTATATCTCTTCAAGTAGTCTAGCACGTTTATCACTCCTCTTTAAGAGGAGTTAGTTTAGGCAATTAGTTAGTCCATTCTTGTATATAAACACAATATTGGATGAATGAAAGAAAGATCGATCTCTTGCTTTTATATGGTATCAAGAGCCCTAATATACTCTTAAGAGTAAGATCTATTTTTTTCTTATCTCTTCCACCCACCCCTCCACAAATGGGAGACACTACTCGCGTTGTTAATGCTGATTACAATGTCGGCGCAATGATCGTTCAAGTTAACCCTGCGTCTTAATTGCCGATAAAATTACATGGCAGTCACAATTTTGCAACGTGGAAGGCACAATTCTCCATGCTTATGCATGGTCATGATCGCTATGGTCATCTCAATGGGTCTACTCCTTCCCCATCCCGCACTATCACAACTGGCACAGCCCCTAGTGCCAATCCTGCGTTTTCTCTTTGGTTTCGACAAGACAAACTCATTCAAAATGCACTTATGGCATCTGTTGATCCAACAATTGCTACAACGATTGCCGCTGCTAACTCAGCTAAGACAGCCTGGGATGCCCTGCACACCCCTTATGCAAATAAGTCTCAAACTAGAATTTTCAGTCTGCGTGATCGACTTATGCGTCTGCACAAAGACTCCCAACTAGTCTCCGAGTATTTGCAAAGTGTTCGCTCTATTGCTAATGAACTCTCTATTGTTGGTGCCCCTGTCACTAACTTTGAACTTATAGTAAAGATCATTAGTGGTCTGGGTGCAGAGTTTCATTGTATTTCTGCTGCAATTCGTGCTCGTGACTCCTCTATAACATATGAAGAACTATACGAAAAGCTTCAGGACCATGAAATTTTTCTTCGACGTGAGGAGTACAAAAGCGTTCCAACCCAGATTACTGCTGTTGCTGCTACATCCAACCAATCTGGTAATTCAAGCTATCGCAACAATCGTCGCCCCAACAATAACAATGGTAGCAACCAACAACGGCGGTCCAAAAGTCGCTTCTCCTCACCCAATCAGAGGAGATCTTCGACCAACAACAACTCTTATGATGGTGTACGGTTCCAGCTGTGCAACAAACTCGGTAATATAGCAAACGTTTGTCGTTCGCAGTCACACAATCATTTTGAGGCCAAGGCCAACTATGTGTCAGGCTTGAACACGTCAGAAAATCCTTGGATTCTCGACTCGGGAGCATCTCATCACATCACTGCCACACCCCAAAATTTGCAAGCATACAATGGCATGGAGCAAGTCTCTATGGGTGATGGTAACAAAATCTCCATAACTTACACTAGTTCTACTCATTTAAATGCATCAAATAAATCTTTTAAACTTTCTAACACTCTCTGTGCTCCAAGCATTAAACGCAATTTACTCTCTGTCTCTAAATTTGGTCAAGATAACCTAACCTCTATTGAATTCTTTCCATTTTATTTTTCTGTGAAGGACTTGGAAACGCGGACTCCGTTGGTGCACAGTCAGAGTAGAGACGGTCTCTATGAGTGGCCGGAATTAACCTCCATCTCACCCCCTAAAACGCATTTGACTTCCTCCACCACAACCAGTTTCACTTGGCATCGTCGGTTGGGTCATCCACATTCAAGAGTTTTACATTTTATTTTGAATAAATTCTAGCTACTTTGCTCGCGAGACAAATTTTCAGTTTGTAATTCTTGTTCTTCGAATAAGGCTCATCGCCATCCTTTTCAGCAGTTAACTTTATCATGTACCCAACCTTTCCAAACTATCTTTAGTGATTTATGGGGTCCTTCTCCAGTTCAATCAATTGACAATAAATTATATTACTGTATTTTTGTGGATAATTATACCAAATACACCTGGCTTTACACTTTAAGAAATAAAAGTGAGGTTACTAACCTTTTCCAGAACTTTCAAGCATTAATCGAACGTCGTTTTAATACGAAAGTTCTTTCTCTCTATACAGATGGTGGTGGCGAATATAAAAATCTTGATCAGTATCTAAGATCTTAGGGTATTGAACATCTTGTATCTCCTCCATACACCCCCAAAGAGTTGCTCTCGCTGAACGCCATCACAGGCATATTATTGAAACGGCGAGAACCTTACTTCATGAAGCATCACTTCCATCAACTCTTTGGTCCTTTGCCTGTCAACATGCGGCTTATCTCATAAATCGTTTACCTACCCCACATTTACAAAATAAATGACCATTTCAACTATTGTTTGGTCAAGATCCGGATTACAATTCTTTAAAATCTTCG